TCGGTGACCGATCGATCGGCACACCTCTAATTAAAATGCTCAAAAAATGCACACTGTGGTCAGCTGACTCATGGAATCCTTTTGTGATTCTGCCAGCTGAAAACAGGAAACTGGAAACTAAAGGAATGATAATGTTGGCAAGCTGCTGTGAATAACACAAGTGGATCTTGTTGAACAGCTTTGTTTGAATGCTGGTTCCTGTCAGTACCTTGATGGTGTGGTATTTTTTTTTCTGATGGTTATCCAACCGGCACATTCTGACAGCAGCATTTGCATTGTTGAGACAGAAATAAAAAATGAGCTGATTGAGGACTCACAGCTGTGGACAGCCTGGAGGCCAGAGTCATCTCCAGGTTCCCCTTCAGGCCCAGCAGAGCAGGAACCAGGATGAAGATCTCTGTGATGAACTGGAAGGCCTCCCAGTGCTGCGGACACATTGGAAACAACACCTGACCTCTTATCACGCAGCCTAATTTGACATTTAAAGATAAAAGCCCTGGTGTCATTCAGATAAGAGTCCACAACTCTCCCTGTTGAGTCATCAAAGAGATCAGCTACACAGACCTGGAAAACTTAGAAAACAGAAAACTGATAGTAGAACAGAGAAAGTTGAGTTATTGGTCAAACAATCTCTTGGACAGATTTTGTATTTTTTGTTTTGTTTCTGTATTTCTTTATCAGCTCTAGTGATCCGCTCAGCTAAACCCATCAAGGTAAAGGAGGGTTAAACATGATGATCCAGGTTACATCCAAGCATTCTCTTGTCACCAATACATTTTCTCCCATTTAAAATAGTTATATTTCACAATTGTGCTTTAAATCAAATTTCAAAGAGGATCAGAAAACTACAAGGAAGCAAAACTAACACAGATACAGTAAACCAAATCTGCCAGAACCTGCTCTGTGGCAACCAGAAAGCTGCTCATCTTGTTCCTTGATCTTCTTCATGTTGTTTGTTCTCTAGTCAGTCACTACAGTTTTTTTTTTTTTTGCAGAAATTCATGCCAAAAAAAAATCAACAGATCCCGCATACAATTGTGAGTTTATTACAAATTTTCCATAATAAACTCACAATTAATTGACTGCTACCTCCCACCTTTAGGTGGCATTGTTTCTGACTTCTACTTCAAGTTATAGTCTATGATAGAATAAATATGCTTGAGTTGTCAGTCTTCTTTTTTCTAACTCATCATTTTGTTCTATATGTAGCATTACATATTTGGAACATGGAAAAGCTCTTGTAATCTGGATCAAACTTCCAGAAAACTGAAAAACTGCTGAAACACTGAGTTCCTTTACATTAATAAAGGCTAAAAGCTGCCTTTGATTCATAATAACTAAAACATTGACTAATATATTTGATGATTTTGATGATGGCATTTGACAAAATGTAATGTTTATTGATGTTTCAAAATAGGTTACCGCTTTATGTTTTTATAGTGCAAAGAACTCTGAACAGCCTTGTTGCTGAAATGTGCTGCACAAATAAACCTTACAGGAGTTAACAAAGGAAAAATATCACAAACATCCTTGCAGAAATTTCTAAAGAAGAACCACAAAGATCAGTGATTTAAATCACAAAAAACAAGACAAAACACAGACAGATTATCTGCATTAATAATGAGATTAAATCACCTACAGATAGACTTTTTACTAATTAGGATATTAGTTTTTGCACTTTGGGGATTTTCAAAATAAAGGGTGGTTAATATAAAAGCATACTTTTCAGAACCTCTTTTTAAACTAATGCATCCTTTCTGCTCCGTGCTCAAAGCAGAGTTTATTCCAGTGATGACTGCATGGCCTTCACAGTGCAGAGTTAATGCAGCTGAACATCAGCTCCACAGCCAGACGTTATTTAATAACCATAGATGAGCCGTTAATCCCAGTCTGTTCAGATGGGATCTTTACTGGTTTCACACCAGCTTACCTGAACAATATCCAGCACCATTCCAGCTGACACCGTTCCAAAGCCAGCCAGGAGGAAAGGCACCAGTATCTGCAAAGCCATGGCCAGCGGCGACTCTTTGGGCATATTGGATCCATCTGACCCCAGCGCCTCCACTGTATCCTTCTCCTCCTCTTCCTCCTCCTCATCGCTGGCGTCGTCCCCGGAGAGCCTCCACTCTGCCAGCATGGGCTCTGTCTCAGCGCAGCCCCCTTCTCCACAGTCCGATAGAGTTATGGAGGAGCGGGAGGCCCGCTCCACGATCCGCCGGCCCTCCATGTGAGTCGCCTCCTGTCTGTAGCCGTTCTGCAGCGAGCCGACCTCGGGTTTTCCCCCCAAGTCCACCATGGCTAATCGATCCTCCTGCAGCTTGGTGTAGCCAGTGGGAACCATGGTCTGGAAAATGGAGCCGATGCGCACCGGGGCCACGGGTTTCAGGGAGAGAGAACTCCATCCACCGGCCACCCCGCTCATCCGCACCGCCAGGCTAGAGCCCAGGGAGTCTCCCAAGGCTCCGCCCAGGTTCTTCATGCTCATGGTGACAGCTTCTAGGATCGCAGAGGCTCATCTCTTCTCATCCAGACTGACGGCGGACTTAGCACAACGACGACACAGAGAGGTTCACGCAGGCTAACGGCCTTGTTAATACTGGCTACTAGAAGGCATCACTGGAGGGAGACGGGAGAACAGCCACATGTCAAACAAGAGCAAAATAACTAGTATACAATATAAACCTCCAGGTCACACTTCCTGTTGGTCACTGACTGACACAGTTAATACTGCTGCTACATCTGCCCTTGGTTCCTATAGAATAACAGATAATGGAAGGATGCACTTAGTTTTCTTCAATAACTGATGACATGGTTTAATGTGCCATATGTTGTTCTTCTAAAACTGATGTTCAACTCCTTTTAATGTGTCTTACATTATTATATCCTGATGTGTAAACACTGAGTGAAATGTTACTGTAAATAAAATCTAAAAATTTATTATAATAAGCAACGCAACATCAAGAATGCAGCGATGATTTAGTGAAGTATTAAGGAAGAGTTAGTCTGAGGAACTTTTGATCACTTTTAGAACTACAGTGCTGAACAATGCAGTGCCTGCAAAGTGTTGAAGGTTTACATATATTTACAAGTGTCAATGCATTTTATTTGAAATTTATGTAAGAAATCAACAAAATAGCACATAGCAAATAATCATGAAGGGAATGAAAAATTATATAGTTTCAAGCAAAAAAAAAAATAGCAAAAAAATATAATCTGAAGTGTGGTATGCATATTAATTTAATAACTTTAAATAATACAATTCAGTATAGCCAACTCCCGTTAAAGGTTACTTACGAAAATGGGAGGAAAAAAATGGAACAACTTTAAATCTATGGAGAAATGGCTATGAACCCAAACTGACGGGCAGAGTTGACTTGGAAGGTTGATGTTCACAGATGTCCTAAACTCAGTCTGAACTGCAGCTGGAAAACCATGAATCCAGATCTGCTTTTTATGCTGCGCAGAAGCTTAAAAAAGGTTAAAGTTCAAGAGATATGACTATGAGCAGGAAATGTTGTTTTATCAGATAAATAGCAGGCACTTAGTTGCATCTTATTTCAGACTTCCTCTTTAGTACTTTTCACGGCTGACAAATTCTACATACAGGATTTCCAGAGAGCACGGGCAACACCAAAATCCAAAAACTAAAATTAGTCCTTTAGTTAGACTGTATCCTTATATTCCAAATATCTTCATGGAATTTTGTGACAATTTGCTTATCAATAACGTTAAAGGAAATAACCAGTTATAGCCGTCGGAAGTGCCTCTAAATCATCCATTAGTTTCAGCTGACCACGTTAATAGCAACTTTCTTTTAAAAAGGGTGAGGAAAAAGCTGCCAGCTGTGGTCTATATTAGCTAAACATATTCGGGAGCTGAAAGCTAGCTGTGCAGGAATGAAAACAGTTGGGAAGCTGCTCGCGACACCTTCCGCGTGAACCACTAAGCTATTTCACAAGATTTGTCTCGACAAATATCAATAAAATATTCCATTATCTACAGTTTTGTTAGTTTTTCTTTTTCTCCAAGGAATTACCTGTTCGTCAGAAAGGATTTTCGACCCGGAGGAGAGATGCCAGTTTTACGTGACAGCCAACCAGACATCCGCGTCAGAGGAAAAAAAAAATGCCAACAAAGATCGTCAATGAAAGACGATAGAAATTCTATTTGAAAATGACGGAACTGGTCGCAGGAGCTATGTTAAGCGTGTTTACAAGTTACATAAACTTCACAAAGACAGCAGTGAGGTAGGGAGTAGACGACGTCAAGGATTAACTCTGGTATTTGTCTTTGCAGTGCTGATGTATATGCAGATAGATGAGATGATAATAGGATACTAAACAAGTTTTTTTAATGCAATAAAAAAATCTTATGATTGTCCCGTTAACATAAATATGCTCAGCTACACTGTTTCTTTGTAGAAACTCTTTCATTTTAGCTGTCCGTTATGCTTTATAACATTTTTATTTTATTGCTCGTTTGTTAAGTTCAAATTTACCAGGTGGATGACTACAGTTTATATAAGATTTTGAACTTCTTGCAGTATGATGCTTTAGTAACATTCTGTTTCTTTTTCTTTCTTCTTTTCCATTTTCAAAATGCCTCACTGGTCAAAGATAAACAAGTTAATGCTACACTTCACAGAGATTATCAAAAACATCAGATTTCTCAAACTTTTACACTAGAAGAATCTTAAGCTTAGAACTACAATATGCGAAGTAAAAAAAAGATTAGAGTGATACCTCTTACCATACAGTCTCTCTTAGCCAGACCAAACAAAAAGTGCCACACCGCTATTTGGATTGTAGTATGTCAGAGAAAACGACGGAGTGCACGTTGTTGAGAAAAAAACGAACAAACCGACAAATATTACAATTGATCTAAATGTGAAGAAGCTTAATAAGGGCTTTATTTATTTATTTATTTATTTATTTATTTTTAAGTAGACTCTGAAATCAATTTTTGAATAAAGATTTGCTTTAGCTTCAGTAGTCTTCCTAAACAGTAGGTGGTGCTAAACAAATATAAGTGTGGTGATGTCCGGAAATCATAGCCAGGTGTTAGCTACATGTGTTGCACATGCCGAGTTAAACTTTCTTTCCAACATGGACCTAAACACGAAGAAAAACATTTCCCAGTCTTTACTGTCTTGTGGAAACGATGGAGGTCTGAATTTTTTCTTCACTATCAATGAATTAGTGGATCTTGAATAATAACAATGAAGGATATTTCTATTCTATAAAACACCGTTTACTGTGAGAAGCTAATCTAACGGTGTACTGGCCTTTTCAGGAATAGGGTCAACGGCGCTAAAAACATGTTTTAAGAAGTTTTTCTCAGCGTTATCTACTGGCTATAAGTAAACAGCAGGTGTTGTTTTCCCATGTTTTGGTGGGCGCTAACTGCGGAAGCAATAGTTTTGACAACGTCCTTATTATAATAGAAATCGAAAATTGTGCAGTTTTTCGATGTTTTTCTTGCATGGAAAAACTGCACGAAAACATAAGTAGTTAGCTCGTCCTGTTTAATTCCTTAAAACCTGGCTAAACGTTGGCTAGAAATAAACTGTTGTAGTTCTTCAACTTATTAATGTTTTCCAAAAAGAGTTATGAGAAATGATTACAGTTGTGACAGAGCCTCCTGCAGCAGTCTATGTTGCACTAAAGAAGATCTGTTCATATAATTATCACCTTTGGACATTTGGGATGAGAGGATATTTTCTGCAGAAGGCTTAGAATCCTACAAATATTACTGTTTCTAAAAACATCAGTATTTCCACCGTAACATAAAAAAGATAAAAGTGATGTTAAAAAGTTTCCTCTTCTTCCTCTTGTCTCTCTTTGACCTGCTGCTGTTTTTCCTCCAGGCCTCAGTGAGAAGCTCCTCCTGAAGCCCAGAGCGGGCCGATCCCTGCAGACGGAGCGGGTGCCAAGGAGCAGTGGTGAGACCTCCTCCTGAAATATCTGGCCTTAAGTTTGCCCGTAACATTTACATTCAAACCTTTTCTGCCCTTCAGTCCTGGAGCGCCTGCAGAGCTTCCTGCCTCGGATGGCTGAGGCCAACGAGAAGCTGAAGCAGCAGCTGGAGGAGGCTCCTGAAGGACACTTTGACATCCAGAACGTGGACGAGGCAGAACGGGTCATAGAGATGGTGAGTGTCACTCAGTCAGATCAGGTGTGTGTGTGTGCGCGCGCTACAGCCTTCAGCTTATGAGTGTTTAAAGTTAAGAGCAACACTTGTTTGATGGGCTGTGCATAAGACTGACGTGACACTGATATAAACATGACATCAGTCTTCATAAATTACTTACTTAATAAGAATAAGGTAACTTTTAATGGACTTTTAATGCAACTTTGCATTAAAGGTGTTATTTACTGAATGACACTTTATGACTCCTTAAAGTTCATAACAGGTGTTATGTCATGTTTATAATGGTGTCAGATGTAATCGCAGCAAAAGGTGGCGCTACAAAGGATTAAAGCAAGGGGCCCAAATAATATTGCACGCCCCACTTTGCAGTTTTTTATTTTCTAAAAAAGTTTAAAATATCCAATAGATTTCGTTCCACCTCACGATTGTGTCCCACTTGTTGTTGTTTCTTCACAAAATAATAATTTTAGATCTTTATGTTTGAAGCCTGAAAAGCAGCAATAGGATATAAATCCAAGCTTGGATATAAAACAGCAAACACTGCATGGAAGCTCTTAGCAGAGACAGCTTCCTGGTTCTGCAGGTTTTCTTCCAGGATTAGTGATGGTTTACAGCTCCATCCTTCTTGCTGTGAACTCTGACTAGCTTTTTTGGAAAATCAAGTGGAAAGATTAAAGGTAGGCAAGGAAGAGGAATAATGTGAGATGCAAAAAGAGCACCTGTCATGTATTGAGTTCATATAGCATAGAGTGGATGGACATACTTTTCTGTAGTAACACATTGAATTTATTTATGTATTTGCTATTGGTCTAAAATATTAGAATTTTATGAGACATTCAGTGTTTTCTGTGAGCCATAAGTTTCACTTTTTGAATTGCAGAAACAAATTAACCTTTTCCGATCTTCTAGTTTGCTGAGCTCCACCTGTAGGCCTGTCAGATTAGTTTCCTCCTTCAGAGGTTATCACCTGGTAAAATGATCAAAACCTCCTGGGAACATTGACATCAGTTATACAAATCCCCCCATAATGTTTGACAGAGGCAAAGCACTCGTCAGACTAGCGGTTTTCTGCAGACATTAGTGGACGTTCCGTTGTTTTTGTGTTCAGATAAAGATCATGTGCTCCTGTCTGTCCAGGATGTAGCTGTGGTGGAGCTGAACGAGTCGGGCAGCGAATCAGAAGAAGAGGAGGAGACGTCTGAGTCTGAGTCTGAGGAAGACGTCGCTGAGATCAGAGAGATGAACCTCAAACTGCCTGGAGACAGAGGGAACAAAAAGGCCAGCATCCAGGTCCTGGAGCAGGGAAGGGAGTAGGAGAGTCAGCTGCAGAGTTCTGTTGGACGGTTAGCAGAATGCTCCAGAGTACAGAGTGGCAGCTTTTCATCATCCCTATGGGAGTGTTTATAAACGGATGATGGGACTACCTCATCCAGATTGGCCTTCCACTGATGATCAGTGAGTCCTTCCATGAGTTTAGGCCCAAACCTGCAGGTTCTTAATGTTGTACGCTTTCTGCTATCATTTAGTGCAACATTCTACTTTTGCATTTCCTGTCAGAGTACATAAGCGAATGAGAAAAGCATTCATTGGGGAAGCTTCCTCTCAAGAAACTTGACGATATCTTATAGGGACAACAATCAATAGTACACAACACCTCAGGCCCACTGATGAGCACGGTGGAGGAGCTGTCATGCTGTGGGCCTGTTTCTTTTCTAGAAGCCCTAGGAGTCATGTCATGTTGTGTGTGGCAGTCAAGAGATCTGTAATGGGTCTTCAATGAGTTGCTCAAGAGGACCGTCGTCAAATCAGAACAAAATCAAACTTCTTACATGACTGTATCCGTTCAGAGAACAGCTCCAGTAGAGAACCTTTGGGCTGACAGACAGCTTCAGACGACATCCAGGACTATGGAGGATGTGCAGAGGTCATGTAACAACCGGTCACTGGTAAACCTTATGGACGACTGTTTGCCAAGGTTTACTTTGTGCGATTTTATAAGAGAAGTACTGTCCTCCTACATAAATGAATGGCAGTTTCTGTGGAACATATCTTATGTAAATAATGTTCTGCTTAAAGTGCTTTTTCCCCCCAATTTGGTAAATATGATCTAATTAAAGGTTTGATTTTTATAATTGTTTCATTTGACATTTTACTGGTTAAGGTCAAGGTCAAGTTAGATGTATGTGGAAATTATTTATGCATTTTAACCCAAGAGTCACATTATGGAGGAAAGTCTATGATGAGTTTGGATCCGTCTATCTGGCTGTATGTTGCTGTTGGATACCATCATAGCCATCCTCCTTTAACAACATCCATATACTCATTGGTTCCAGCTGTGGTCCACATGGTGGCTCTGAAAACCACTAAGTCTCCATGCATCACTGGATTTTCTGAGCTGTACATCATCACCACAAAAATCACACAGGAATACTTAAGCACTCAGAGTTACTGTTTATTCAGTGGACAGCGTCACATTTTCCTTAGAGTAAGAAAACACTCCCTTACTGCCTTTCACAGTAGAAAACGTTCTTCACTTTGTGAAATTAGTAATGGATAAATCATCTATATGGCATTACTGTGATGAATACAGTGAAGTGTTTGGACATTTTTACACAACAAAGAAAACATGAAACATATTAAAATTGTATCTTTATTTTGTAAGAAATAGTCAAAAACAACTAATTTTGAAAAAGAGGGGAGAAAAAGAGGATTTTTTTTTTTACATCTGGATGTTGTTTGATGGTAAGAACAGCACACAGGAGATTTATGTGATGACCAGTGTCAGCCACATTACAAAATCTCTTGTTTGCTGTGGTGGTTAGTTGACAGAAGAACAGGGACAAGCTCTGGTTTTACCCTGTTGGGACTGTTTTTGAGAGGGTCTACTAGAGGAAGGCACAGAGCAACCCGATCAGTAACGGTTGCCCCTTTCCACTCCTTCCTGGCTGAGCTAAAGAGCTGCTGTAGCTAAAGGTTCCTGTCATTGGGCTGCAGGACTGAGATCCTCAGGAGGTCATTTATCCTCAGACCATCAGAATACATAACACCAACAGTCGGTTAGGCTAAGAGCCTGGCTGAGTGGATTATACTGTCTGTGGCATGTTGCACATCTGGTAGTTTGGGTGACTGTACACTATGGTACATTTTATTTTGTCTTTACTGTATTTTGTGTTAATTGGACAAAATAATTTTCCTGCAGGGATCAATAAAATAATCTTGACATTTGAAAACAACTAAACTGTGACAGTAGTTAGACTCCCTTTCTACTTTGTTACTCCTAACACCATCACCACAGGAACAATACAAGTAGCTCCTGTATCAATGTATTAATGATTTGGTCTTTGCCAGGTTTTAAATTTTATTACCCTAGTAATTAACCGATGAAGCCAAAATGAAAGTTTGAAAATAAAAAACTAGGCACACCCTCTAAGCCAGGGGTGTCCAAAGTCGGTCTTCGAGGGCCAGCATCCTGGATGTTTTAGTTCTCTCCTTGGTTTAACACACCTGCATCAAATGATGGCTCGTTAGAAGGCCTAAGGAGAACATTGACTTGCTGAGGAGGTTGTTACAACCACTAGGGAGAGAACTTTAGTTTAACATGCAGGTTGCCGGCCCTCGAGGACCTACTTTGGGCAACCATGCTCTAAACATCTACTGTATATGTTTAGAGCATATAGATGTTCTAAACATCTATATGTTCAAAACCCTAGAATTTAAAGAGGGTGGTGTTTGAGTTGGGAGACGGCTCACTGCCCATGGCGGCATTTTGTCAAGGGGCAACACAAGCTATTAAGAAAACATAAATAACCACAGTCATTATTCTGTTGATATGATGAATCTAGAAATGTCAAGCTTTACAATAACATTCACAGTGAAAGAGAGACTGTACCGGCTGCTTTGTCTTCCTAAATGCTAAGTTGAGGCTGCGGATGGTGCGGGGGAGAGCTGCGCAGAGAGCAGCTCAAATGGCAGTCCTTCAATTCTATGTTAAGTCACTTGACTTTAACTCCTTTTTGGACTAAATATATGTCGTCAAGAAAAACTGAAGGCATCAGGAACAACACTGGAGAGTGAGTTCAGTGGGACACAATCACAATACTCATCTGATCCATTACAGATGTGAAGGCGGAGTTTATTTCACAGAACTATGGATAAATGCTTATAGTTAAATAACTTGAGACTTCCCTACGTGGCAAGTTTGCTCCAATGTAGAATTGGCTGTATTTGACTAAAAATGCATACAGATACACTGGATCATAAAAACATTCACTTTGTCCAAGAGTGAAGAACTGTTCAGTTTCTGCTATAACACACAACAGCTCAAAGGCTTCCTTTGACATTATGGCCCATTACTGGGACCAAAATTAAGACTATTGCAAACCCAGTAGTGTCTACTTCCTTGTCGCAGGTATAACAGGTTTGGTACAGTGTGTGATGTCGAGCCACCACACTGCAGGAGCAGGAGCAACACACCACACATGAACTGATTTCACTCAACAACATTCAGATGTCAGACGGGAAATCTCGCACAACCTTTCGAGACCAAACATGAGTTCAGAGTAAACAAACATGGCTGACTGGGAAGAAGCAACGGCGATGGATTGTTTATCAGAGAAAAAAAATATACAAAAAAACTAATTTCTGACATCCACTGGTCTTTCTGGATTTGTCATCTTTATTTAGGATTCCATGTTTCCGTAGCCTCGCATTCTGAGTGGTTCCATGTCACATTCAACAGGCTGCGTTCTGGTTTCAAATTCAAAAATACTTTATTAATCCCAAAGGGAAATTAAATGTTGTTGTAACTCATTAATTTAGATTCTTCAGCGTTATTGAAGACAGTGCTGGCTGTTGTTTGTCCTCAGGGAACATCACACACATCGGGCCAAGACAATCCAACATGTTGAATATTCCTGATTTTAGTTTGGAGCGATTCCAACATCCTTCCAAATGGACTCTATTCACTCTTAGCACACCACACAAGGTAGGAATACCTCTTATTAATCAGGTAGTACTTATTGTCAGAAAGGGGAAATTGGGACAAAAATCAACATAAAAATCTTCCTGTGTGAACTGCTACTGAAATGAGTAGTCTCCTTCTCATTTCCGTAGCAGGCTTTGGAATGGATGTCATCTCCTGTGACAAGGAATAGCCACCGCTGGGTGGGCAATAGTCTCCGTTTTGGCTCTTAATACCGTGAAACAGGGTCAAGAAACGGTACAATGGGAAAACCGAAGGCAGCTTGACAAGTTCATGATGCCAAGAAAGGCCAAACATTGTAAGGAGTGATGTCTTTAAGCTCACAGTATTTTCTTCTTTCTCCATTGCTTAACCCTGAAGAACCTTGATTTTGCAAACATCGTCAACCAAAGCTTTGCTTCCCACAGGTGGGGTGGCATCAATGTAAGACTTTCAATGCACGTTCACATGTATAAAACAATAACAAAAACCTTCCCTTTGTTCAAGATATGTGTAATATTTCCAAGAAAGCTCAAGTGGCCCAGAAGAACAACGGAGTTCTCTGTAGCTGCTGGTACAGTCCAGGTGAAAATGCACATTAGTTCCTTTTCTTTCAGCAAGTGAGTGAGTCAGAGTTCATTGTAAATGAATAAACTGGTGGCTCAGTACTCAACAGTCACTGCTTTGGTTTTGAGGTATTCCAAGAGGGCGTCCTCTCCTGTGGACAAGACAGAAATACTTTAGGACTTTTTCAACCCGAGGTTCATGAATAGATTCAGCAACTCTACCCTTGTCTCTGTGAGAGTACATGGGGTTTGTTAAAGTATAAAAGCTAATGACGGCTACTTGTTTTTTTTTTTTTTTATTATTATTATTATATTTCACCAAGTAGCACATTTTTTTACTGACCAAGGTCTTTGCCGAAGCCCGACTGCTTGAAGCCTCCAAAAGGCGAGGCGACATCGGTCTTGTTGTAGGTGTTTACGAATACGGTTCCAGCCTCCAGTCGCTCGCTGACATACATGGCTTTGCTGATGTCCTGTGTGAACACGCCTGAGGCCAGGCCATACTCTGTGCCATTGGCTCTCTGAAGCACACCGTCCACATCGCTGTGTCAGATGGAGGAGAGGAAAGAAGGAGTCAGACTTCGGTTAACTCAAACCATACAGTAATTGCAAAGATTAATCCTCCTCCCCTTTAACTTACCCATCTTTGAATTTGGACACAACCATGACAGGACCGAAGGACTCTTCTTTAGCAATGAACATGTGGTCCTCTACATCAGTGAACACAGTGGGCTCCATGAAGAAACCTGGAGGACAAGGAGGAACAGACTTGAACTAAGCTATTACCTCTGGCTTGATCATGTCTTAACCACTCCTCAACAATCCAGGATGAGGAGTTTTAACTCTGAAACAGAAGTCACAACATGTTTTAATACTATGTACGAGTTACAAAAACAGTTGCCAGCAAAAGTCTGATTTGCCCAACTGTCTGTTCTGGCATAAGATCCATCAGGAAAGCCAGTAAAATGTGTGCTGTACCTGGCCTGTCGACTTGTTTGCCTCCATACACCAGTGTGGCTCCCTCCTTCACTCCTGTCTCGCAGTACTCCAGCAGTTTGTCCAGGTGAGCTTTGTGGTTTTGGGGACCGTGGTCTGTGGAGCGGTCCAGAGGGTCTCCAATCTTCATCTTCTTGATCTCCTCTACCTAAGAGAGTTTAAAGACACAAAAAGACCAGCTTTAATATAAACAAATTAATTACACATGTTCTGTTTATTTTATACATAATAGACTCCATGGTGAATCTGTATTTGAAAGCTACTTTCTTGTACTGACATACCCACAGACAAGCTGCTACAGTGGACTCTGGTGTAGCGCTCCATACACTGACCTCTACTGGCGGAGAAGTGTAAGTTCATAGTAAAAGTTTTCAAATGTACAGTACATGGCTGCTGCAAACAAACATCTATGTGACCCTGTTACCCTACCAGGTAACAGTTATTGGTAACATCGACTAAAATCTATTAACTAATATAACAGCTGGATGTTTTAGAGAACTGATCTGATGTTGGGAGGAAGTCATTCATTTGTTAAGGCGGCCATCATACATCACTGGATACTTTAAGTGACTTTTTACTAATTCTGGTATTATAATGTCCTTGAAAATACTTCAACAGTAACTGTTTCTATTGCGCGGTTTGTTTTGGCCAAATCAACTGACCTGTACCACTTCACCTGTAGGTCCACTGGACCCTGATACAGTACTGGCATCACACTCCGTTGATTGGGGGACAGAAAAACGTCACTGCTTGTGACAAGAACAAGACACACTAGAGAGTCACGTAAAGCTGAGTTGGGTGTTTGGGTTTAACCCTGTCTGCCCAGTGAGAGTTCAACTGGAGGTGAAAACGCTGTCGGACCATGAAACGCCGTACTGAACCGCACCAATCCATGCCACACTGCTCAGTCAAAAAGAGGCAATAAAGCCCCACATCAGGGGTGGGCAACTCTAGACCTTGATGGACCGAGTCTTGCGACTTTTAGATGCGTCTCTACTTCAATATCCTCAAATAATGAGGTCATTAGCAGGACTCTGGAGAAGTTGACTGCACTTAGAAGGTGATTCATTTATTTGAGTGAAGTGTGTTGGACCAGGGAAACATCTGGGTTGCAGGACACTGGTCCTCGATGACTGGGATTGTCCACCTCTGCCCTACAGTTACTGGGGCTAATTAAGTCAGTTCTCAGGGACAGGAGTCCTGCTGCTGTCTTAAGTCCAACACACTAGAATCAAATGGCTAAATTTCCTCCTTCGAATGCAGTCAGGTTCTACAAAGTTCTGTTTATGACATGATGTCTGATTTAGGTGTGCTAAGAAGCAGAATCATCTGAAAGTTGCTAAGAAGCAGAATCATCTGAAAGTTGCTAAGAAGCAGAATCATCTGAAAGTTGCTAAGAAGCAGAATCATCTGAAAGTTGCAGGACACCAGCCTTCAACGGAAGCTCCGACTTGCCTATGAATGCCTCTCAGCAAATGAAGGATTATGGTTCCCAGTCTCTGTCCTCAAAGGCTGGTCTCCAATCTATCCCAAACCATGAAATGATTGGTTTATTACCCGGCCTCTGCAGAATTTGGCGACAGCGACGGGTGTGAAAGGAAGCATTCCTTTACTGCACAGCTTGTCAGTGTTGAGGTATACTCACCACTCGGCTGATGTACTCATCATGGATGGACTCCTCCACAAACAGGCGTCCAGCAGCAATGCAGTTCTCCCCTTTGTTGAAAAACACTGAGCTCATGCCCTGCAGAAAGCACACGGGTTATGGAATGGGTCATGTTGGACTCAATTAAACTGAACCCGTTGATGATTCTTCTAAATTTTTTTCTGAATTAGATAGGAAAACAAGTTCTGTAATTTCTACTTTGCTAGTAGCTAAGACGTTTGGATTAGTAATGTTTCCCTGGGTTATACTTGAGGCCAGCAGCCAGACTTCAAAATGAGAAGCAGAAGAGAACATGCTACTTTAAGTAGACAAGTGGAAATAAGCTAAAACACTTTGGGTCTAAACATACACATATGTGATGTAACAGCAATAAATAAAAGCCTTTTCAGTCCTTCCAACAGAAATGTAAAGATGTTGCGTTTGCTAAACTCACCACGGACTTTAACTAGAACTGTGAGCTACAGTCTGATGAGACAAAGGTTGAGCTTCAGTGTTCCTAGGACTGGAACTTTTCTTGCTTTTTTAACACTTTTCCAAACCTTAAAAACTTAAATCAGACCTAAACTTTGTAAGAAGCCAAATTTTAAACATAAATGTAGTAGACTTTGGCAGTGAACTATAGTAAGTATCAGGATGATAATCACAACATCACCTTCATGTAATATTCTAAAAATAAACTACATATAGTACCACTGGCAAAGACATCGGATTTTACCTCATTGAAACAAAATATTCAGAAAGAGGTTAAGTTTTTCTTTGTTGTTTTTTTTTCTTTTAGACAGAAAAGTGTCTTTATCCATAATCACCGTTTTACCAGAGTTCCTCCAACTCATTTCTCTTCATCTTAAAATGGAAAATACTGAAGTTTGCGATTTCTGAATAGTAGGAAGGGAAGGAACTAACGGCAGATGGGAAGGAGGAAGAACTTAAGAAAGAAATGGAGGTAGAAAAACAAAAATGGAAAGACAAATAGAAGAAAATACCCTGGACTGCATTGGAATCCACTTGTGTTAAAAAAAGCTACCAAACTAAAAAGCCTCGTTTCCAGATGGATGTTCTCTCACCATGCGAACCGCCTTGTCCATGTCGCAGTCGCTGAAGATGATGAGGGGAGATTTTCCCCCCAGCTCCAGAGAAACCTTCTTCAGGTTGCTAAGCGCACAGCTGCAGGGAGGAACCGTGGAGAGAAACCGTGAGGAAGGCAACATGCTGATGAAATCAGTGAGCCAGCCTCCCCTCTTACCTCTTCATGATCTGTTTGCCGATTGGAGTGGAGCCGGTGAAGCCCAGCTTGCGGATGTCCAGGTGGTCAGAGAGTCTCTGACCCACCATGCCACCTGGAAGAGAAAACAACCAATCAGAGTGACGCTCCTTCATGTAATCCATTCTGATTTGCTGTTTATGCATCAATGCTAATTTTACCTGAGCCTGGCAGTATATTGATGACTCCTTTTGGGATTCTGGCTTTCACAGAAAGCTCAGCAAACTTCAGAGCGGTCAGAGGAGTTACCTGGAAACATGGCAGAGGTGCAGTTAATGGATACTATAAACCTGCAAAATACAAAACTTTAATTGGCTCCTGCTCATTCAGAGGTCCTCATATGTCGAACAGTTTACCATTGCATATGCAGCTTAATGACTATTTAATGTATTCTTTCTGAAACTGAAACAGGAAAGAATCCAGAGGATGAAATGTCTGCACCTGAGCAGGTTTAAGGACCAGCGTGTTTCCAGCTGCCAGACAGGCTGCGCTCTTCCAGGCCAGCATCATCAGAGGGTAGTTCCATGGAATAACTATGGCACAAACTCTAGTATATAGAAAATAAAAAAGAAAAACATAGTGAAATACATCTTCACAACAGAAACCGAGTCAGCGTTGGTCAGGCTCTACCCAAGAGGTTCTTTCTTGGTGAAGGTCAGATTCCGGTTGGGTCTGGCTTGGTTGATGGGGATCGTCTTGCCCTGCAGCAAACAGAACCGCATCATAGTGTCTCTTCTAGTCTGAGACCAGAGTAGCGTGTCCGTAACAGTTGTTAGCTTGCCTGGATTTTGTCACACCAGCCTGCAAAGTAGCGGAACGTCTGTATGGACATGCCCACGTGTGTCTTCAGGGCGAGCGTGTAAACGGCTCCTGAGTCAATGGACTCAATAGTGGCCAGCTCCTCCTGGTGTTCCTCCATCAGGTCAGCAAGCCTGAAGGGAGAAAAGGAAGTAAAGGTCAAAGGTCAGCTACCATCATTGTATTTGGGTGGGTGATGAATAACTATAAGTAGAACCACAGAAGGACATTTTAAAATTTGAAGCTGGGACGCACCAAAAATTATTTAAATAATCCAGTTTATTGTGCTTAAAAAAAATCTGAATCAGCAGGTTGGAGATTTAAACCTCTGGTCACCGCTTCTCTGAAAAATACTGGATAACTTTATATGTTTATTAAAACAGAAGATGTACATAAACATGTAGAAATGATTGGACTAAATGTAAAACTGAAAAATAATGTACGTTTGCATTCCAAAAAATGTAGGTAAATGGCCTGCTAAGACAAAAACGGAGGAGCAAAAAAATAATGCATAGAGATTGTTCTGACTTCCAGTAGGAGGAGCTACTTACTTATAGAGCAGACTTCCTCTGTCTCTGGGGTTCATCCTGCCCCACGGCCCAGAATCAAAAGCTTCTTTAGCAGCAGCCACGGCCCGGTCCACGTCTGCCACTGACGCATACGACACCTTACAGATCACCTGCAGAGGAAACAGTCGGATGATGTGGATGGATGGATGGATGGATGGATGGATGGATGGATGGATGGATGGATGGATGGATGGATGGATGGATGGATGGATGGATGGATGGATGCACTTACAGATCCATCGGTTGGATTAATGGTGTCGTAGCTCTTGCCATTTTCTGCATCCTCAAACTTTCCGTCGATGAAGCACTGGTACGGCATGTTCACCGTCATGTTGTTCACTTCTCTGGTTGCCTACGAAGATGAAGAGGAAACAGAAAGACGAAGGTTTCACCTGACTTCCAGATCTTCGCTCTGTTTCCGTCAGACCGTCAGACTCACGTAGTCGACGACCAGCTCCTCCTCCTGGTCCTCCCCTCGGAGCTTGCGGACGAACATCTGGATGAAGTCGTGGAAGGTGGTGGCCATGTACACGTCCTCGTTTTGCAGCTGGACGCCTGCACACTTCTGCTTGACCTCCTCCACTAACCTGCAGACGGAAAGGACGCCTCGTCATTGGTCCGAACCGCAGCCACACAAAAACTGACAGAACTCCTGCATGTTGGGGCCACTGCTGCTGGTTCATCGAGAAATAGAATTCTAGAATGTATTCAGATGATTCTAATCATTTCTTTAAAAAAACGTTTCCAGCTTCATGGAATTTGGCGAGCCCACATCGGCGTCAAAATTGTAATTGTTTGCTGAAACTAAATATTACTTTGAATCTGTTCAGGAAACTTGGATTAGCCTCAGTCAGAGAGCAACTGGATGACAAATCAGAGTGGTTGGATGTTACGGCGTTAAAGGACCAGCTGCATGGATTTTATTTTTTATCTCTTTACCGTATAAGATGTGACAGATTCCAGCCCAACACTGGACCTTCTGTCTCACCTAACAACGTCCATGGAAGCGGCTCCGGACTTGAAGAAGTCTGTCGTTTCCTCGATGGCGCCCACATTGCTGAGGATTCCCTTCCAGATGTTCTTTGAATAAACAACAAAAACTGTTTATTTTTTCTTCAGTCTAGTCTATGCACCAAAAGGTCACAGTGGTAACCTAACGGCATGTTGTGCTTGCCCTGATTTCCTCAGCCATCTTCTTCTCATCGTCAGTCAGCTCCACACTGGAGCTTTCTCCTGAGGAGAAGTACTTGGAAGCAGGAATCATCTTTCCGTCTTCAAACTGCAGATTCTTCACCAGGAGCTGCCGGTCAAACAACAGCCAGGTTAAAAGTACGGCGGCGAGATCACGCCAACACATCAGAGTTTGTTTGAACAAGCGGCCGTATCTGCTGCTGTTTGCTCTGGATGCTTGTTTAGAGTTGTGAGGAAGGAGAACTCACGGCGTTCCCGTCGGTTCCGTACAGAACCAGCCCGGACTTGGTGACGAGGCCGGGTTGGGAAGCCCCATCGATTTCCAGGGCCTGACCGGCAGGTACCGAGCCCCCCAACATAGACGAGCCGTAAAGGGTCACAGGCTGCAGAAAGGCACAGATAAGCAGTTTGTAAAAGTATTCACACCCACAAGACTTTTTCATGCATCTTTTTCAACAAACCTCGGCATTTGGTTTTATGTGACAGACCAACATGTTGATGCACAACTTTGTGTTGGTTTTTTGTTGCATTTTTTTAACAAATAAAAATCAGGAATGTGTAGCATGATTTGACACCTCCAAATAAAACAACCAGGAGAAAGCAGTCCATCTGCGTGTCATTTAATCTCAGCAGATTTGTGTGTTTTTTGTAGAAATTCTCATTGGTGGAGCTGCACAATAGAGATGGCAATAATGGTAACCATAGAAATGGTGACATCAGTTACCATATTTGCTTTTCCTCTCTTTCCCATCTACTCTTCCATCACTTTTTACTTTTACCATTTTGGAAATATCTAAACTAATGACACATTGAATATATTAGCCAATAATTACTGGTCTCCAAACAGCCCCATGTGACATGAACATTTCACACACTGATATTGCAATGCTGATGCTGATGCTGATGCTGATGATGATGATGATGGTATACTGCCAGTAGGCAGTATGTGGTGCCGGGGGTGAAGGTTCACCTTCCAGCAGGATAGCAACCCTAAGACTACAGTCCGAGCTACAATGACATTGTTAAAATCAAAGCACAGTCGTGTGTTAGAATCGACCAAAGTTCAAACCCAAACCCACATCAAACTCCTGTAGACTTACACCAACAGAGTTGTTGCTGTGTTTTCAGTGAAAATTGGTTCATCAAAGGATTGATTCAGCCTTCAGGGGTGTCCAAACTTTTTGGAACATGAGCCAGAGTCCCAAAGTTGAAAGTACTCAGGGGCCATATTGTTTCTCCAACAAATCATTTTGTTATGAACTTTTTTATCTGGTCGTCTTAATTAAAGTCAGACAGTTTCCCAATGTTTTAAGATTTTTTTTAGTGTATTTGGTCTAGTGCACTTTAGTTTATTCTGTTATGTCAAACTTTGTTTTATTTCAATCAATCAAACAATCAATCAAGCAATCAATTTTAGCTATAAAGAATCCTTCATGTTGGAGGCAGCTCACTGGATTGCTCATATTCTTTGCTTTATTTCTTAATAAAATAATAATCAAAATGCATTTTGATTCGTTCTTGATTGACTCAGTGTTTCACTTTAGATAAGACTTATTTATTTCCTCAACAATTCCAAACAACAAAAATTAGAACTTTTTTCAAAGAACCTCTTGTCCAAGTTTAATAGTAGAACTAATGTGCTCTAGTCCTTTATTTTTCCTGTAAAATTTCACTGAATATTTGTAGCTGTACTTACTATGACATTAGACTGAAACAGAAACGTAGCTATTATAAAAAATACACTTTCCATTAAAGTAGAATTTCATTTTTCATTGAAATTGTCATGACTAAATGACTACAGTGGCCACAGGAGGGTCAAACTGGTAACATTCTTTTAAATGCAGCAGGGGCCGCATGAAATTGTTCCGAGGGCCACACTTTGGACAGATTTAGTCTATCCAATAAAACACATCAAATGTTGTGATTATAATGTGAGAAAATGTGAAAAACTCCAAAGGGTGTGCATACTTGTGTGAGACACTCTGACCAAACAACAGAAAGACCCTCAGGCTTTATTTACCATCTGCTCTGGTCTTTTTTTTTTGTTTTGTTTTTCATTGCACATGTGTTCCAGTAAACTCACCTGACCGTCGATGACAGTCCACGCTCCGGGGACTTTGTCATGGCCGCGGATCCAGTTGTGGATGGCCTCAGCTGGCTGGGCCCAGTCCACCTGGGAGACACGGGGAGAGGCCGGAGTCAGCACTGCTGAGCGCTCACTTTATTTTCCAAAGGGGGGACCTGTGAGGGAGCCAAAACAACCCAGTGCTGCCCCCAGGGGGCCACTCGGAGGAACGACAGGTGAAGGCCAATGCCTGTGCCGAGAATAGATCGGTGGAGCAAGCAGCCAGCGACGTTGCAAATCAGAACACGGTTAAGATCAGCTCCACCAATAGAAAAAACTAGAATGAAGCAGTCAGGAGCTGCTCTCACTCAGCTGTGTGAGCCGTGTAACAGTACCTGTCCACATGACTCTGAATCAGGCTCTTTTACTCTGAGCAGCCGGCCAACAGCTTGAACCTGATAAGTGCTGATGACTCTGGGAGCAAAAGCTGGAATGCAGGATGTAAAACTTGAGCTGGTTTAGTGTTTGATGGAAAATGACATCCACTAACTTGTCTTTAGAGTGCCGGATTTTCTTTAGACAGCATGTCATAGATAACTTTAACTCTACGGCAGGGGTCCCCAAACTACGGCCCGTGGGCCGAATCCAGCCCGCCTCCTCATTTAGTCCGGCCCCCTGAACAATACCAGAGAGCATTCAGTGTTTTTTTTCATATATATATGTGGATTTTTTTTCAACCACCAGGGGGGCTCTTGAGCAGATATGAAACTCAGTTTCCCTCAATGGAATATATACTAGTCAGTACCAGTCACTGTTTCACTCACGGTTTTTTTCCATTTGCATTCTGGGTAAAAATCTATCTACAAACGCGAATATGTCGTCGGCAGTAATCCAATCCCCCCCATTCCCCCCCTCGTCAACAAAACTTTTCTAAGGTTTCTTTCTCGAAAAACTAAGACCGGCCCTCGACCAGAAAAGGGAACAGTCATGTGGCCCTCGCAGGAAAAAGTTTGGGGACCTCTGCTCTACGGTTTGCTCTCACCCTGGAGTTGGATTTCTTCTGGATGCCCTCGTAACTCGCTCCTTCCTCTGTCTGGGGGATTCGAGGGGCCTTTCCATCAGCGATGAGCTGCACCGCCTCCACCTGACACAACAAGTAACAGTTGGTGGTATATGTCTGGGTGAAAGGGATTGTGCTGACATTCCGCTGGTTACCATGGCTTTGATGCCCTCTGGGAAGAGGAAGCGGTTGTACAGTGTGTCCACCGTGTCGTTGGGCTCTACGCTGCATTCCCTCTGCAGCAGAATGGGGCCTGTGTCCAGGCCGTCGTCGGCCCAGAACACGCTGAAGCCAGCTTTTTTGTCACCGTGAATAAGAGTCCTGGAGACATACAGAGATTTATGAGGGATTTGAAAAGCTAACATGTCATTTAGACAACTTCAACTTGCAGGAGACTCACAGACCCAAAAACCTTAAAAAGACAGTATTGTGTGTTTTCCAGGCATATAGGGACATTTCATAGCACAACCAAGTAACTAAGCCTTCAGTTGTTGTAAAAATACTATAATAGCTTGGAAGCTGGAGAACCTGGAGAATAACTCAAACAGTTTATGAAGCTCTATGAGGAAAAAAAGGTGATAAAACCATTGTACTTGATGCTTCATTGAACTATAATTAAAGTCCTTACTAAGGAGCTTGCCTTATATTATTCTAGGAAAGACACAAATTAAAGTTTAGGTATTGTCAGATTTTGTAAAAGTTAAGTGACGGGGCAAAAAATGTGAGATTTTAAAAAAAAAAGTCCCTGTTTTTATGGGAAACAAAGAACTCAGTTTAGCAGCTGGAAACATACAGTACTTGTTCATAATAAGTAATAACCAGGGAGGGGAACAGACAGGAAGAGATAAGAGAAGATTAGCTTGGAACTTTTACTTTCACTTACACATTGGAGAGCACTGGGGGTTTGTGCAATATGATTCAACAGAAAAGATGACAGTAAAGTGCGACAGGTGGTCTTAATCTTCCATATGGTCTTTCTTTCTCACCAGTTGATGGCAGAAGCTCCTCTGTGCAGCGGTAAGATGGACGGGTGGTAGATGATGGAGCCGTGCTGGGGATGGTCGATTACGTTCATGGGGATGAACTGGGAGCAGAAGGGCATGACGTTGAGCTCTGCGCCCACTGACTTGTACGCGTCCACCACGTCTGGGATAGGCTTCCCTTTGACGCGCCACCTTGGAAACTTGAACACGGGCGTCCCGTCCTTCTCCCCTGCCACAGCTAACAGTGAGGAGGAGATGTGAGAAGTGCAGGTTGGACAGGTCAGCACTTAGGGAATCAGACTCAGAACATTCACAAATTAATTTTACGCTTTAGAGGCTTTAATGAGATTTGTTGTTACTTTAAAGGGTTCTTTCATGTTAACACATAAAAGATTCTACGCTTTTCATACTATTTTTCATAGAAATTGCTGAGAATGCAGTTTGGGTATTTTAATACAAATTGCCAGTGGCCTGGATCTGTCTATAAGGCAAAGCCTAACCACACAATGGAGGACGGTCATTTTTGACTGCTTGTATCTGCATTATGTCTATGTTATGATTAATTGAGCAGAGCTGGAGAAGAAGCTCCAATGAGTCAGTCTACATTTCTTGTGAAGAAGTCACCAAGATCCTTAAAATCCTCTACTAGGGGCAAAAACGAACAACATCTTTCCTGTTTAGGGAAATGGCCTTAGAGTTGTTGGATCTGTATCTCACCCTGGTCACTTCATGATGGTCATAAGCTCAACAGCAGCACATCATCTGCATAAAGTCAAACATAAGACCAGGAGGTTCCCAAAGCAGACACCATCCTCTCTGAAAGTACGCTTTGAGATTCTGTCCATGAACAGCCTGAACAGGATGGGTGACCAGCTGTACAATCTGTACTGGGAGTGACTCAACTTTGTTCCAAGAAAATGGACACAAACATTTCTTTGGCTGCAAGAACTTGGTAGATCTTTAAAGCATTCTTAGCGCCCAATGTTCCCTCAGTGACCCCCATCACATCTCTCAGGAGGTAGACTGAAAAACCAAACTCCCTTGTTCCCCTCAGCAATACTACGACACAATCTGCTCCAGAGTTCTACAGCCAGAAAAGAAAAACAATGCTTTCATGTTCAAATAATGTTAAAGCCCTTAAAGAACTTTTGTTGATGAGATCATTAACTATACCAGAATGTTCTCAGACATAAAAAAACAACCTTTTTGGTTAGATTCCATTGGAGTGTTTGGAAAGGTTTCAAAAGATTCCAGCAAGAGGAAAGAAATGTGATTTAATGCTCTTCATAAAGAGGAACTAGCGGTTTCAGCCAGTTCAACATAATTTAGATAAGGTTCAATACCACTTAGAACCAGATCTGCCTGCTCTATGCAGATACACACAAGTGCGATAAACTATGACAAACCTGGCAGGAAGCAGCACCTCAGGCAGCATAAACAAGCTTGTTATATTGTACTTTATATGATATGGAGGTCAAAGGACTCAACAGCCAGACCTGAAAACTCTCAGGCCAGCAAATCCACAGAAACCAGAACAGAGCTGAAACAAAATCCAAACTCTACTCAGATTCTTCTGGGATATTTTCTAACCTGAATGTAAGATCTGGAAGTCTACAGCTTGCAAACGATTCATTGGTTTTTCATCTCTGTGCCTCTGCCAGCACAGACAATGGAATCACTCTGCCTTAGCTAAAACGGGATAAAGGCATGTCTTTGTTCCAGAGCACAGTGCAGTCAACTCACATCTACCTCAGCCACAGCCACCTCTGCTGACCCACAGCTGAGATCCACAACAAACTCTCTGGATAGTAAGGTTTTCACAGGGGTCCTCCCAGGAAGTCTAAAAATCTACCTAATGTTGTTGTTTTTTGTGGCTCCTGTATTTGGAATCATAATATGTTTCTTAAAAAATATTTTTACAGAAAAACAGAGTAACACTGTCCCCCACTTGTCTGAAGTTAGGCAATAATTAGCAATTAGAAAAATGTTCTTATTTTCAAAACATTTTAGCTTTTGAAGCTTTATTGTTTATTGTCAATTTATAATTTACCATTACAAGAAATGACTTTTTAACAAAGTCTCAGCTTGGCTTGGATAGCTGCTTTTTCTTAATTAATAGAATTGTCACTTGAAAATTGCATTTTGTGTTGTTTTTGATTCTTTTTGTCCAGTATGAAAGTTTTTCTGATGATCTAAAAACATTTTAAAGAAACACAAAAGACAAAAAAAGAGAAATATGTAAGGAGGCAAATAATGTTTCCTGAAATGAGCATATCCACAACCCAATTCTATTTTTTCACATTGTGAAGCATAATATTTACAAAAGGTTGTTCATTTTTCTTCAGTTTTTATGTTGTAAGAAATTTGCTCAAGACAGCAGCAAACCCAACTAGTTTAAACTGAAAGTTATTTTTTTGTGTTAACATTTGATTAAAGACCTGAAACTATTTTGCTTTGCTGAACAACCTTTTGTTGTTCATACTTTATTAATGTGTTGAAAATGTTTAAAAAATGAGGACCAGAAGATTAACATGTTTGCGTTAACTCTAAATTGCATCAAACAGCAACGATGTGCATAAAGTGACGACACAGAAAAAGAGCAGCAGTTAAATGGTTAACTTACCCAGGGGGTCGGCCTTGCCATCTTTGTCAGGAACTGTGAACACACCCACAACCTTGTGACCCTGCTTCCTCAGGTTACTGTACACCTCTTGACCAAACAGACTCTGACCAATAATGGCCAGTTTTAGCTTATTCTGGTAGTAATGCTAGAAAGAGAACAACACAGTCTGTTAGATTTAGTGAACCTCCAATGGTTTAAAAGACCTTTTCTTACACTCTCAACATTTACATGTAGTGTTTACACTCTTACACAGTACTTCTTGCTCATTGCTTATTAGTTTTTAAACCTGGGTGGGTATGTCCCGACTAAGTGGGAACAGTTCCTAATTCATGCACACCCTTTAGCAGTCTCATATAAGGAACAATTGGTCGAATTATCCTCATGTTTTATTAAAATCATAGTCGCTTGAAAAGTCACAAACATTTCTACAAGTTTGTGGGAACATGAATGTGGGCCAACTCCACACACATTTCAGGTTTACAACACGTGTGTGTATGGTTCACACGTCTGTTTAAAATGCACAAATATATGGATACTGTCCACACATATGTAAAGTTAACTAATATGTGAACACTTTCCACTGATATCAACTTTACAGAGATGTGCGTACTGCCTATATAAACATAAAGTTTACAAAGTACTCCATAAAGTGTAATGTTTACAAGAATGTAAACATTACAGAGTTGACGAATATGTGGGAACTGTCCCCACACCTATTTAGTAAAGTTTACACACGTACTTAATTTCCAAACATACTATTTGTACTTTACAAACTTGTGGGAACTATCAGCACATCTGTCTAAAGTTTATATGTGGTTACAGTCCATGTGTGTGTAAACCTACAGATTTCTGCAAACAATTTGCACGCCTACACACAGTTTACAAATCTGAGTACTTTTCACCAACATCAACTTTACAAGATATGGTCCCTGAAACTTTATACAACTAAGGACACACTATGCACCTGTGTAAAGTTTTCAAAGATGTGTGTATAGTTTCCACATTCACAAACTGACAAAGATAATGCCCTATTTTAAAGCCATATAGTTTCAGTCAGTAGGTATAAGAAAATAATTACGATAATGGTATCGGTTATCAGCCAAATGAGTTTTAGTATATCGGCATTATCGAATACTGACCAAAAATTCAATATCATGCATCTGGAATGTAAGAGTAAAAAAAGTAACGTTTACAAACTTGCGGGAACTATCAACACATCTGTGTAAAGTTTACGATCTTGCAAGTGCCTGTGTTTTTATGTTCTGCAGCAGGTATCACCTTGCAAGGGAACCGATTTTTACAAGCAGACTTTTCCCTCTGGGTGAACTTAGTAATTAGTAAAAAAAACCCTGGAAATTATCCCCTTAATTCAGGAATATTCAATCAAATCAAATCACACTGATGACGCTCTCAGATCGGCTCTGTGGCTGAAGGAGTCCAGAGAGTTCAAGTGCGCGTCTGGGGCCCCATCCGTCTGACAGGAGCTGCACATATGAGGACAGTGTCAGGTTTCCCAAGCTCCCTTTCATACATGGACGTGTCAAACGCGCTCTGCTGCTACATGGCGTTTCTGCACCGCTTCATGATGCATTCAAAGCAACTACGTACAGTAGCAACAGAGTGGCTTCTGACAAACTGGTTAAAGTACCAACAGTGAGGCTGCAGCAGAGGCGACAGAGAACCTCCAGCCCTGCCTGCAGGTGCGTTACTAAGCCGTTAATCGTGTGTTACACTGCGGAGCGCGTTTCATCCAACTCCCTCCGTCTTGCACAGTTTAAGATCGCCGACGTGAAATGTAAGGAAACAACGTGGCAAACTGTCACGCTGCAGAACCGTAATCCCGCAGCTCTAACTGGGCTGCTCACATCACCAGATGCACCAGTGTGACAGTCAGCCGGGATCCGAGCTGGAAGCTCGGTGTTACTCACGGAGGAGGTGGAGAATTTCCTTAAGACTTGAGTCGCTGTCCACAGCATGATGGCGGAGTTAGTGCATATAAAAATAGATGGAAGTATGAAGGGAATATGAGGGATCCGTTCCAGCCCGCTCTGGAGCTCTGAGCGCCGCCGCCACCTCTTTATGTGTGTGTGTGTGTGTGTGTGTGTGTGTGTGTGTGTGCGCCACCGTGCGCGCGCGGTGCCAGTGTGTGATGCGAGCGCAGAGCGGGCTGGTTGGAGGCAGTTACTGTCTGTTGTCGCGGTGTGGGCTTGACGCAGCCGGTTTATACCCGCCACGGCCACGGGGCGACACGACACGACACGGCACGTACTGTACGTGCGCGATCACGCTGCGCGTTCAATACCAGGGATGCTCCTCTCCAGTGGGAGTCATGCTGCTCAGCTCTTTATCTGAGTAAATACAGCAGTCAGATTAAATCCGAGCTTTAACTAGGCCACTCAGAAAGCAGACAGTCTTCGTCTGGATTTTCTGCTAGAGATTAGAATCAATTTGATAGAACAGAAACAAAGCCCGTAGCATCACATCGCCACCACCATGTTTGACTGGATGTTCCTTTCCTGAAATGCTGTTTGTTTTAAACCACTTGGTTTATCAAAAGTGAACGTTTGGTTTATCATGTTTTTGGTTGAGGCAGTTATTCCCTCTGGTTTCGCATGCTGTCCAAAGGGAGGATTTCCACTCTGACATTTTTACATTTGGACAGTTGAAATGATGGCATGGCAAAAAGTTTAGTTGTTTTTTTACAACAAGCTGATTTGGATCACAAAAGCTCAAATAATATGTGAACTGTGACCCCAAATGGCAGAGGAGTTGGAAAGGCTTCATGGATGCAGAGCAGGAAGAAGGAGGAAGTTCAGACCATCTCTGACTCCACTGTTGCTCTGCCTGGATTTTTTTACTATGGGATGTACAGAATTGGGCCACAGATTTAAGGAGGAGTGGCAAAACTCCTCTTTAAATTGTTGATTCCAACAATTGATGGATTCAACAATTCAATCCAGGAATATCTCACTGTGGAATATCATTTCTCTGCTGCCTGGAAATTGAGCTGTTAGCATGTCATGATGGTCATAGACAGCCACACAACTACAGTGTTCAGTCAGAGGCTTCTTCAGATTTGTTGAAAAATCGACTTTCTGCTCACAGCATTGCCATCCACAATGACAATATAATATGAGTTATTACATTTAATACTCCTTAGAGATGAATCAAGTATTTGAATGTGTGATTCTGCACTTCCCCAGTGGTCACTACAGTGGACAGCTATCTAAAAGCCATTTTCTTGTGCTTCTTGTGGATTTTTATGTTATAAATGCACACAGACCACTAAAGTGGACACTAATGCATCATAAAGTACACTATCAACTACTGGCCATCAGCTGCAAATGCAAGAAATAATTTGTGATAAATCCAATATGGCCAACAAACAAAAAAGTATGCCAACCGACCCGGTTCCTCCTTCTACTTTAGACGACTCTTGCAGGTAACATTTTTTTTTACATCAGATAACCCCTAAAGAACAATACTGACAACAACTTTGTATTTGGATAAAATTACAATTGATCACCTGAAAAACATAAATAAATTAAATTTTTTTCCTACCTTTTTTCATGCCAAATAAAAAATGGAAAAAAATCCTGACACAAAGGATTATAATTCATGCATGAAAGGGTTAATAAACAACCTCATTTGAAAACTGCTGCTTGTATTTACTCAGGTTATCCTTGAAGTTAACATTTTGTTTTATGATCCGAGACAAAAAAAAAAAAAAAAAAGTAAAAACAGAAGAAGTTTGTAATGGAGCGCTCAGCGTTTGCCCTTTCCGTTTTGTACCGTACAGACCGAGCTCTCAGGCTTTTGGACCGTTCACCTGCCAGAACTCCCACACAGAACAAACGGAACAAAAACACATCTGGCACCGTCTGAACTCAACTGCCCTGCACAGGTTCCTGAGGAGCAAAGGTTTGGGCGATCAGCTGACACCTGGCAGCGAAACAGAACCCCGTCTACATAATCACTCACTTTTTCTACTGAAGGAGAAATTAAATAAGCTCTGGCCTGCAGAACTTATCAGTTATTGATTTGCATTACTGATTGAACTTCTTGGCAAATGAAATGATAAAAACATTTGTAAAGTTTCTACAGTGGAGCCTCAACTAATTACAGAGCGGCTCCAGATCTAACAGTGCCTCACTAAATATAATGTTCCCCTCCTTTTTTTAGTGGAACATGGAGGCTTTAAACCTTTGATTTGGGGATGTGTCTATAAAGCTGGCACTTGGAAAGCTGATCAGATTTGATGGAAAGATGGACGCTGGAACTGGCAGAGCAAAAATGGAAGCGATTGGGTCAACACATAATCATGTGATAGAATGGCCCAGTCAAAGCCCAGAATTAAACCCAAATCAGAATATGTGCCAAGACTTGAAATTGGCTCATCAGAGTAACTTTCCATCCAATTAGTTTGAGGTTAAGGTCATTTTTAAAACACGGATAGAGAAAAGAATGTCAGTAGAAACGTCTGCCTGACAGAGCAGCCCTCCCTGCTCAGACCCTTCAGACTAGCCAGTTGCAATTAGCAAACAGCTGGAACACCTGGTGGAGCTGCACATCTCCTGAGCTCATTATAGGAGCCATTTCTCAGTGAAACGCTGGTAAAACGTTGTTAAAGGGTTAATAGAGGAACCACGTTGTAATGACTTCCTGGAGGCGGAGCTTCAGAAAAAGCAGGAGTTTCTTAAAGAGACAGAGGAAAAATTTCAAGGAGTTTAAAGTGTCAAATTTATTTTAAGATACAAAGCATGTTTATAACAAGTGAAGGCGAAATAGTTGTTATTAAAAGGTACTCTGCACCTGGAAAATAAATCATACTGCCCCTTCAAAGGTAGTAGAGAAGCAATGTCAGGTGTTTATAAAATATCAGTAGATATTGGTTATTTTTCACCATAAACCTCAGTGGATGGATGTTATTGCCTTTACAACAGAATTTGACCGTCTTGGAAAGCTCCTCACTCTGGTTGAAGTAAGTCAAGCCTCTTTTAAAACTGGAAAAAAAAACTATTTCAGGCTCCGAGGGAAGGTTGACAAGTTTTTTCAGACATGGCAACCTTTAATCAACTACTTTAATACCTTGCAGACAATTACACCACAGTAAATGAAAAGGATCATTTTTTTTTGTCCTGCGTTTTGTCCCATTTCTGTTCGGTTCAGACCTTGAGATAAATATTAGTTATAAGCCGTTTTTAAATCAATGGCTTGAATTGAGCTGACCTGTATTGTTTTTTTAATACCACTTATATCTGTTGAGCCTGGATGACAAAATCCATAAATAAAGATGGAAAAAAAATGTAGCAATTGGAATATTGGGTATCTGTTCAAATTGTTTGCATCAGTGCCTCTGTGGTTCTGGTTAACTAACAGAGAAGATCAGGTTGTTGTATATCCAGATGTTCACCCTGCATTCAGACTCTTCTACCAGTAAACTGAAGACAGCAGAAATAATTCAAGGGAGCAGCTAGGATTTATTAGTGAACATTTTAACATGAATAAGAGAAGTGAGGGTAAAAACACCGCTGGTGGATGTTGCTATGGTGACATTCCACCTCTCATCTGCAGTGTCTGACCTACATTGTTGTTGTGAAGAAATCAGAACTGATTTTCTCCAGGTTCTTCTGCAGCTGGTCAGCAGGATGAATGAACCAGACGGAGGATCCTGATGTTCAGCGTCAGGAACAAACTGTAGTCCTGAGTAAGAAACCAACGAGGCAACCTGCCAACAATCTATTTAATATTTGCCAGAAACTTTTACTTTTCACCACACGGAACACAAAATACCAGAGGTGCAGATTACCGAGCAAAACACAACATGATTCATGTCCCCCAGTTTTACTTTTAACTCAGCTGAGTTGACGCTGCATGGTGGCTGGTAGTTTTCAGCAGCCGCTTGTGAACACAGGAAACCATGGCACAGAGGGGGGCGTGGCTTATTTTTCCGTAGCGTGAGCCCATGCTACTGTTTTTACACTCCCAAACAAGTTATAGGTGCAACCTGACAAAGACGCTCTCTCTATTCACATCAAACTCTGCAAGACAGGCAGGGGTCTGGGGGTCAGGGGTGAGGGAGGTGAGGGGGGGATGCAACGAGAAATCACAGGAAGCGAATTCCTGCTCCAAACTGGACGCCGTCACATATCCTAGGAGAGACAGAGGAAAAATGTTCTGTGATATTTCAGCAGAAACAGGACAAGAGGAGCAGCTGCTGCTTGGGTCATTGTCCCACCTGTCTCCACTCTGAACTCCCATGGGTACGCAGTAGTTCAGCTCCAGCCGGGCGATGTTCCCGAGTCGCAGCACGATGCCGGCCCCGTACGACCAGCGGATGCACTCGGCCAGCCTCTGGAGGTGAGCCTGGGGGCCTTCGCCTGCACGGGACACAGAGACCATGTCACCGCACAGCACAGGCAAACCTTCCTCACCCATGTAGAGACCAGCCTCACCGCCTTGCACTAAGGTTCAGAATTGTGAAGTGGGAGAAAAATAATTCATACTCTGCTCTAGCGGTGCACCAATCAGGTTTCTGGCTGATTACCAATTCCGATTTTGATCGATTCCAATTTTTTTTTGGCTGAAAAGTCGTCAAATATGGCAACAAAGTTGCTAAGTTGGCAACAGTGAGGTGACTATTGGTGTCTTCACTAGTCTTCAGATGACTGTTCCTAACTCAGACGTGGCTGATCGATGGTGAAGTGACAGCTCTGCTGGAACTTAAATATATCGACAAAGCTGCTAACTTTTTACACTGTGATACTGTGTGTTGATCAATAGCCTAATATATCAGTAACAGACGGAGACAAAATGTGAATAAAAGGTTTCAGGGTAACAATGGCAAAGTGAGTCTCTCTCTAGTCAGATGGATCTCAATGTTGAGATTAGAAGCCCAGCAAACATGAGCGATAAGAAACGGACACAAAAGACTTGGAACAACTTCATTATCTGAGCAAAGCAGAAGATGAGTCCGTCATCTTTCCACCCACCGTAGTTAAGGTTGCACAAGTTGCCTGCGTTGAGAAAAAAGTGCGTTCTAAAAAGGTCGCCGAAGCCTCCCTTGCCAGGCCTGAATGGTAGAGGTGTGTAGAGGTGCACACCGCCTGCCCAGTACGCCTCACCGCCCAGATAGTCACCTGAAACCCAAAGCACACAAACGCAACACATCAGCATTCTGCTTAAACCTAAGCAGTCATGTCAGGCTTCGGTTTACCTTCACTCTGTGGCCCGATGCTGTACATCCCAAAGCCCCGGACACTGGTGGGACCTCCAAGGTAGAACCTGAACAAAAGCCGGCAGGCCACAATGTTTTCATAAAACATGTCAGTTTGAACAGCTGCATATATTCAGCAAGCAAAACAAAAAAGTCTGACTACTAACTGAATAATCTGAAAACAAAAATAATTCAGACTGTCGTCAAATCTTGGCTTGATTAGATTTTAACAACTGGTATACCTGTCAGCGATGCAGGACGGCTGTCCTCTGAGGGGATAAAGCATACCCCCCCATAGAGAGGCAGACAAAACCTGACAGGACACAAAATGTAGTTATTGTTTAATTCTGCTGAAAAACACATTCAGGAATAAAGAACAAAGCTTCGCTGCCCTCTTGTGGTTAGCTTGACAAAGCAAAAGATCAAATGACACCAATAAGTCAGAGTTATGATGTAAACTTGAAAAATTAGTAATTTCCTTCGTACAGAATCCCAGAAAAGCTTTCGGTTTAGCTGAAGCTCAAAATCCTCTTTCAAAAAGCTGGCGTCTCCCCCGGTGTATCCAGCCAGTTCCTGCCGGACAAAAACACCAACAGACAGAGAATTAGAACCATGCTGGTCATGTTAGCAATACAAACCAAAAATACTCCCTGTATTTTTAATACAGGGAGTATTTTCCATCTACTTTTTAAGAAACTCTAAAAGTAACAGTGGCTTTCCCTCTGGTTTTTAGTTAAAAATATATTTCATACTTCTTAGATAACAAAGAAACCTCATTTGGTGCAAAGATTTAAAGATTAAAGCTAACAAAAACATAGCTAGCTTGACTTCCTGGATTTTATGAGCGGTTCCATTTCACAAATTAAAACCAACCGTTCCAAGAATTCCCTTTGCTAGAACGCAAATCCATCTATGAGCTGAAAAAGTCCCATTTTTCAGAAGGCAAAGCTTAAATGAAAAGCAGGTGTAAGCTAGCTGCTAAGAAAAATCTGAATAGAAACTGGAAGGGAAACTAGCTTAAAGGTGTGAAAATGGAAAAGGAAGGAAATACGCCATGATTTGATGATGTACGCTAAAACTGACCAATTATCAGCAAATTAATTAACTTAAAGTCCTGCTTTTCTTTTCTCTTAAACCTCCTGAACATTTAGAGGAACACATAACAGAATGCTTCCATTCTGGGAATCTGTTAGCTTCAGAATCCACACTGAAGCTAACATTTTCTCCTTTTTTGTTCTTTAGGTTTTAAAGTTATATAAGGTAGGCTACCAATCAGCTCATTTTAGTTTCAATGGCGTAGGAAGACACAATACCATGGGAAAATCTTGCTCTGTTGCCCATCTATGAGTGTGACACTGTAGCATAAATAACTAGATAAAGTTAGCTGCCACAAACAGTTTGGAAATGTAAAACAAATGCTGCAGCATAAGCAATGCACACCATGTGCCTAACTAATACAGGATTAATGCAAATGTAACTTTAATACTGTGACCAAATAATATTATTTAGTTGTGCTATGCTATCTGAAGTAATAAAGACTCACTCACCTCCACATGTCAGATGCTGGAAACTAAAACTTACAGCCTAATCTACTTTTTAATCAGTTCAGCTTACAATTACTTGATCACGAGAAAAGAACTCAGAAAACTGCTGTCTAATCAAAGCAGACGTTGTGTATTCTGACAGAATACACCCCTGATCCCAATATACATTCACTGTTCAAAACAGGAGTGCATCAAAGGCAATAAATATTACTCACTTAAAAGACATGTGATGTTTCTCAAAATCTCTTCTTACTCATGTTTACAACCAAATAACATATGATTTTTAATATACCAACATACATGGCAACATACTTTTTACATACAGACCTGGTTGATGCGAAGTAAGGCACCTCTGTTTGGAAAGATAGCAGAATTCCTCGAGTCGATGGACATAGAGTGCTGCAATGAAACCGACAGAGATTTAACTGAACAGAAAACTGCTTAAAACTTAAGATTTCCCTTCACTTTTATACATTATTGGTTAAAAGAAACTGAGTTTTCTGGCGTTACCGAAAGGGCAGATTTCAGCGAGTGGCCGCTTTCCTCTCGCACTGCGAAGGAGGCGCTGCGTGCCAGGCAGCCCAGCTCCCTCCACACTCCCTCCCACTTCAATGTGTGGCTGGTCACACCGAGAGGAAACTGCAAAGACGAGGCAAACGGGCACATCAGAGCTTAAATCTACGGGGTTCAGACTTAAAAACTCCCAAAAAACTTCTTACATTTAATTCTGCAGACAGGCCTCTGTCAGTCTCTTTTAAGGAGCTCCATGGAAACTGACCCGTGACTTTATATAAGTTCAGGGTGAAGCTGAAATAAAGGACCATAGTAAAGGGAGTATCAACTTTTAAAACCACATAACATCCAGGAACCCAATAGATATAAATGCCTAATGGAACCTAAAGGAGAACAATGATGCCACGTACTTGCGTTCAAAGTATCCAGGTTGCGGTTTGAAGAACGACAGGCCGTAGGAAGTCTCCTTTGTCCCGTAGGAGAACTGGAAGGTGACTTTCTCAGCTCGGCCGAATACGTTGGGCAGCTTCAGCCCCAGAACCTGAAGGAGACGGTAGATGATACATGACCTGTACTTGCATAACACTTTTTCCAGTCCAAAGGACCCCAAATCGCTTCAGTCACCCGTCCATTCACACACTGATGGTGGTGAGTTACATTGCAGCCACATCACATTCACGCTGCCTGTATGTACCTCAACAGCTGTGTGAAGTAAGTGGTGTGTCTCACCATGCTTCCTTCGTTGTTGCCAACCATAGTGTTGTAGCTCCCTGTCAGCCTCTTGATCTCCGTCACTTCAAAGGTGATGTCCAAGCCGTTGGGCAGAGCGTCTTTACCTGAGGGAGAGCCAATCGCAAAGATGATTCAGCTAAGCTGTGTGGTCATAGCGGACCAGCGTGCGCCTTTAAGTATGAACAGTTACCCTCTGACGTGTCGATGAGAACCTCCACCTCTTTGAACACTCCGAGACGGAGAAGCCTCAGTCTGGCAACGTGAGCTCTCTTCATCACCTGAAAAAGACCGGCACACTTATGGAACGCCACACACATCACATTGGTGTTAGAATACCTTAATATGCAGCACAGTCAGACAACTAATGCATACGTCAATGAGGTTCTTGGCATGGAATACATCGGAGATCTCGTAGCCAAGCAGATCCTCCTTGGTTCTCCCCAGCCCCTGGATGTTGACGTGCTGGACGACCACCTGTGTGACCAAACAGGATTTATGCATGACAACATGTCCAACAGACATGTTTTCTGACTGCAACATACAAGATCTGTAGACACTTTCAGAGAAGTAGCCACAGAGCTGAGATGGTCTAAAAAGTGGTTTATCTTGTACTCCGGATCCTTTTACCGGATATTCTAACAGATGCAATCACAACATAGAGGCACAATTCAGAAACAAAGTATTTTGGCTTGAGTGCCGTTACATTTTCAACAGAATCTGAATTCTTTAAGAATAAACTGAATAACAGTCTGAATCAATGTTCTGATGTTCATGTTGCTTAAAGGATACTTGCTTAATTTTCCTATTCTATGTTGAGATAATCCCAGTCTACTCTGGAGAGGCAGTGGGAATTTTCCATCCAGGTTTGCTTTTAAAGAGTTGACAGTTAAAGGGATGATAACATATCCCTTTAACAAAAAATGATGGTACTTTTAAATGTTACTACTAGCTCAATATTGGCAAAAAATGTCCAACACTGATGAAACACACCTATATGCTACATATCGGGCAAGGATCAAATCCCAGACCCTTACATCTCTCCATCAGGCTTCCTAACCATACTGCCAGTAGAGATTTTTAAAAAATTTATCATGTTAGCATGTCATAACAGTCATGAAACTGTCACACAGCAGCAGTCTTGAGTCAGAGGCTTCTTCAGATTTGTTGCAAGACTGACTGGTACTGGAGATCGTTCCTGCCCACAGCATCACCGTCCACAACGACTCTTTGAAGAGATTTGGATGTTAGGAGTTATGAGAACATTGAATTTCCCTTAGGATTAAAAATGTAGTCTATTGATCTCATTCACTATTTCACATATTTTGTGTCTTGTCACCCAAACAACTTTGTCATGTTTGAATTAATCACATGACTAAAGAAGGTGTCTCCAGCAGTAAAGCCATGGTATGAAAAATAAATTTTAAAAAGTCAGCGTCTGGAGAATTCCAACAGTGGGAAAACACTGGCCACTCTGAAAGTTGGAAAAACTATTTCCCAGGTGAATTGTTGAATGATTTCCAGCTATAGAACAGTAATTCAATTTAAATGAAAACCTAACTGAAGCAAATGAACCGCTGTTGGAACTACGATTCAACACATTTTACATAAAGTAGAACTACACACCACTACTCACATCTTTGTTTTCCAGGACTTCCTGCTTGGACTCCTGCTCCTGCTCTGGAGGCTCCATCAGGTCATCGGGGTTGACGCCCAAATCGCGGCCATGCATCGGGAGCGGATCCAGACTCTGCACCGAGACCGAGCGACTTAAAACACAGATCAGTATGTTTTCTGTAGAAATGACTAGTGGACTAGTTCTGCACAGTGGAGTCTGGTGGCTAGTGTCAGGGCTGGGTTTTAACTGTATGGGCGTGTACATCGGCTGATCTCAATGAATTAGAAGATGATTGAGATGGTAATAGTAATTTAAAAGACATGCTTTAAACAGATCCATTTAACACAAAGTTATTTTATGTCTAATTTAGATAATTATGGCTTACAAACACAGGTAACATGGCCGACTGACTGATGTTAAACAGTCATGATCCACAAAAGGCCATTGCTAAGGAACTAGTTGTTCATAGGGTTTAATGGAAAGTTTAATGAAAGGAAAAATGTTGTAAGAAGCAGGGCAAAGAGCAGCGATAATTGTGGAAACAAGTTACAACTGTCAAATTTCTTGTGTTGAGACACAACATAAGAAATTTGCAATGGCTCATTTTGGGTTTTTATTGGCTGAGTGTAGGTCTGTTAATCCATATATACCTACAGAAAGTCTCCACTCTTTGATGAGTGCTTTGTATTTTATTTCAAAATGATACTGAGTTTTTTTAAATTAATTGATCTATAATGCTCAGATAAAGAAGACAGAATTGGGCGGGGCGCCGAGAGGAGCGTTTAATGTCCAGTGATCACTGAAGGTTAAAGAATACACTGTGGCAATATGAGACGTTCAGGTGAGTAAAAATAAGCTATGTTAACTCTGATATATTAGATATTTTACGATAAAATAAGACAATGAATTTTAAATTTAGTTTGCTTCTTTAGCAATGAGACCGTGATTGTTTTTCTCAGTAGATAAAAACAATAGCTATAAGAAGGACGGAAAGGGCTGTGCATTTTTAATGTCTTACAGTCCGTGAAAGCATCACTATATACACGATGCAGCAATGAACGCGGCTTTAAACCTTCGGACAGATTAAGCGGCATAAGTCGACATCCTCGTTGGTTTTCTTAAAATCGATAGTTTAGCTAAACGTGTGGTGCCACGGTGCAGCCTTCAGCCCTCTGGCCACAGCAGAGCAGGGAGGTCAAGTCACTATACGTACGTCCACTCTCACTCACAGAGCTACAGCGGTTTACCTTCGCATGGACGGTCCCCATGGTAACCAGCGGCTCCAATAAACCTCCTCAGAAAGGCTTTACTTCACAGTAGGAGAGCGAAAAGTAAGAGCTGACAGAGGCTACTGTCTCTGGTTCCAAGCCCCCTTCAAGGGAGACGCCATGACAGTTGCTGAGATATCGTGCTGAGTTCAAATACACTTCGTACTGTAGAGTAGACACGCTTGAACTCCGACGTTTTTAAGTCCGCAAACTTTTACAAATGAAATTGATTTACATCTTCTGTAGCGTTAACTTATTTCACAGTCTTTTCTTTTTTACTATTATTTTTTTTTAGTTTGTCACTGTCGTCTGATTTTATTGTTGCAACTGTAATAAACGTGTGATGCTGTTTTAAATCGTTTTTGGCAGTAGTTTTTGTAGTTTCTAAAGTACACAATGTCTGACAATACATTGTCTATTTTTGTTTTAATGTGATCCTTGCGGTATTTTCCCTCTTACTAAATTTAGAACATGTAAGTCCAGGTATTATCAATCTGCGTCCCATGTTTCTAAATTAAAAGCTGTCGTAAATCCACACTCAATTGTCTCTACTAATAGTAGAGAATTTCATAATTTTCTTTTAGGTATGTATGGCAAAACGTGAAAATTATGATGAAGAAAAAAAAACATCTTTACCCTCCGATGGTTTGCTAGAACAGGCTTTTTTTTAGTGCCCATAATTTTGAAATACTGGATCTTTGACCTATTTGTTCCTCACTTGAAAACGGGGTAAGAGATACAAGAGGCCTAGAATGAATGAACACCAAAAAGAATAAACTATAACGAAATTAATAAGTGGTATCATTGCGTTGATGTCAAAAGGCATACAAAGGGTTAACAAGTCAGAAATGACCAAGTTTCCTATATTTTTGAACGCATCACTTTGAAACCTCTCATTGATTGGGCAGGGCCCGGAATGCATTTCCAAATACAATCCAGAAGATGGCAGTGTTTTCTTTCTCATTGTTGATTCGAATCATATTCATTTCCAGTGTTCAGGAAAAGGATGCCCTCTTTTTTCATTTCAGGTGGCCTAAAAATGAATGAACCATTCAGTGTTGGGATGCGGGGGGGCGACAACCATGAAACTGTCGTGTTTTTACTCGAGCCTCGTGCAACACATCAAAAACAACCAGACACACCATAGACACGTTAAACTTCATTACCGAAGCCTGGCAGAGTAAAGTATAGGTGACATCCCAGGTCAGACTGAATTAATTTGTGTTTGTATCCTGCTGTTAATTCCTTCTGCAGCATAATAATAATGGTTTATTTCTACAAATAAAATCCTGAAAAGTAGGGTTTTGCATTTGTATGAAGCCCCATCTTAGTCTGATAACCTCAAATAAACTGCAACCAATCGCCTTCAGAGGTCACCTAATGAGTAAACAGAGTTCAGCTGAGTGTAATTTATTCTCAGCATAAATCTTGTTGCTCTGAAACTGGTTTCAGAGGTTTGATAGAGAATATAAATAAACAAATGGCATCATGGAGACTAGGGAACACAGCAGACAGGTCAGGGAGGAAGCAGTGGGGAGATTCAGACAAAAGACAAATTTAAAATCTCGTGTCCTTTTACTTCTGTTTCAGTTTGTGTATGTCCCACCAGGCCCCTGTAATTTAGGAGCCAGAAACCTTTTTGGACCTCGGCTTTTATCATTATTGACTGTCATTTCCAGCTTTGGACAAGTACTAATACTTTCCGATTAATATTTTAACTTTAAATCTTTAAACGGTTTCTTTGATTTCTATTTTCCCCTGATAAAATTCTGCTAAATACACCTGTAAGGAAATTGATGTACAATATTGACTTCATGAATCTACAGTAATATTCAGCAATTTACAACATATATAACCTGATAAGTCTCATCACATTGAGTATCTTTTGAAAATTAAGCAGGTATGAAAAAATAATCTTCATTAACCACACACTTCTGCTTTAATTTTTTTATTATTATTGGTCTGATATAACATCCTAATTGTAAATGTCATGGTTTTACTTGATGCAAGTGAAAATGATTATAAGTAATAGAAATAAATTCTTTCAGCCATCCAGCTGTGTGCAATTACTCCATATAATGTGGTTCACTTAGTGATAATATATGGGCTTTTATAATTTACTTCATGGGTTTGTTTAAAAACAGAAACTAAACAAAATGACAGCGCCGTTCTACTTCTTTCCAGCAGGGGGCGCCAAGTTTCACAAAGTTGACCAGCAGTTCTCTAACCTTTGTTAGTGAGGTCAGCGGTTCGTCAGGAACAGCCATGACAGAGACAAAAAAAAAGACTAAACATGTCATGTTTTCAGGAGGAGTGGGCGTTTAAATAAAGGTTTCTGCTTCAAACCCAGATTTTTATGTAAACCTTGAGGTTGTAAACTTATGTGTGGAGCATTTCATCATGCATGTTTCTCCTGTATAAGATCACTTTAAAGATGCTTTTAGGAGTGACAGCTGACTTCCAGTACATTTTGGGCTGTATTGAAGAATCACACTAGGAAGGAAGTTTTGATCAAGAAACACTTTGAATTTACCATTGAAACAGGAAAAAAGCAGAACCATGGAGGAGAAAGAAATCCTGCTGGGATGCAGAGGTAGAGTCACAGAAATACCTTCCAAATCTGGAGTCTGAGTCTTGATCAATCATAATCAGAAGCGAAAAACCAGTATTTCCTATAACTCATAAATTCAAGCCTTTTCCTTATTTCTTTTGGCTTTTTGTACGCGGCTAAATGAGATTTTGGGAAAAAGACGACGCAGCAGCCCGCTGTGTGCATACCTGACACTGAGAATTGTTGTCAGTGTGGAAAGATTTCTTCAAACCCCGTTAAACCTTTGATATTTTTTTTAAAAGGTTCATAACTAGGAGGAAATGGTAAATAACGTCCCACTGTTGTTTTAGGAAAATGTTCAGAGTCAGAATGTTCTGCTCTGGGTTTTATTGAGCCTCTGATGCCTGAGCTGTTATTGCCTGCTAACTGCCTTGCAGACATCCTGGTTCTTCTCTGGACATGACGCGTTTTTTTAAAGAATGAAAAATACAATTTAATAAAAACATCCAGAGAGTAGCTAAGACCTGAAATAAGTTCTGACACAAGCCTTATATCTTTTGTAAAAGAAAAAAATGGCAGCACATAGGCACATTTTAGAAAAATATTTATTTTTGTCGTTGGCAATGTGGCTCTCTGCCCAGGGTGGCAGGTTCTTGGGAGACGTCACAACAATTTACAACAAAGCAAGTTGGAACTTGACAATATTTTCTACTGCATATAAATATATAGATATACCTGTACACTACGGCTTGTTGATTATTTGAAAAGTGGGGTCCTTTAAGGCAACTTTACCTTTTGTTGTTTTTTTCAATTGGCCACATTTGATCATTTTTAGCTCAAAATTAGAAATGTTAAAAACTATCAAACTTGAACTCAATTAATTTATACACTTAGAGATTTTTGTTGTGTACGCAGCATAATGCTGCCACCACCGTTTCACGGGGTGGGTGCTGTTTTCTGGGTTGATGGGGAAAAAGTTACAGTGTCACTCTGAAAGACTTGCAGTTGTATTTGTAGCGAAAGGTGATTCTACAAGTAATAATAATTCATAATAATAATTAATAATTTTACTTATACATGTTTTAGATTTGACTTTATTATATCCATTTTTTTTTACATCCCCCACCTCCTTGTAATGACTCTGCGCTCCATCCTCTCTCTCCTACCGGCACGAACAAACCAATCAAAGAGCTTCATTCTCTCTCTCTCTCTCTCTCTCCCCTCCGACCCTATCCCCACCTCGCTCCCACCCCCATATGCTGCCAGTCCACTTTAAAAAAAAAAAAAAGAAAACGGAAAAAAAACGGTCCTCCTCCTCTATCACAGACACACACACATTCACGCGCGCGCGCGCTTGCACACGTATTCACACCACATCCATACACACGCATGCACGTGCAAACTTCCACAGTCGCACACACACCAGCGGCCAGTCCAGGTCTGAAACCCGTCAAAAGCCCCGCTGGATCCTCACATCGCCTGTCAGCATGCGGAGCGCTTGTTTTTCCCGGGACGTTTGTTTGTTTATCCTCCTCATAAATACTTGCAGGGTGATGGGGAATGTCGGACTCGCAGGTAAGAAGCTCCCCTTTCTCCTCTCCCGTATCACTCCGTCTCGGATCCCCCCCTAAGACTTTCTGCTTTTCGGCGGCTTCTTCCCTTTTACCGGTTTCTTTTTTCTCTTTCCTTTAAAGGAGGAAATGATGGGAATATGAGTGTCAGACTGCGAGACATATTCCAACAGGATAAACTTCTAAAAAAAAAAAAAAAAAAAAAAAAAACACCAAAAAAAAAAAAAAAAAAAAAAAAAAAAAAAAAAAAAAAAA